CTGCGCAAGCACGACGTCTGCTTTCTGATTACCGTGAAGCCAACGCAGCCTTATGGCACAAAGTACAACCACCGGGAGCCCTTCATACCGCAGGTGGGCTTGGTCAGTGTCCGAGGATGCGAGGTGGAGGGCATGCTAGATGCCAACGGGCGGGTCATAGAGGATGGCCCAGAGCCAAGGCCCCAGCTGCCTGGCGAGCAACGTTGCTATCGCGTGTGGCTGGACTCGAATCAGTATCGCCAGGACATGGACGATCTGCAGGAGGTGAGCTATACGAAACCAAGGTGTTTATTGGTAATCTTCATGGAGTACTTTACAATTTCAGGGTGCCGATGATGTATACGAAAGCTTCAATATACTGATGCGTCGCAAGCCCAAGGAGAACAACTTCAAGGCTGTCCTGGAGACCATTCGCCACTTGATGAACACCGAGTGTGTGGTGCCGCCCTGGCTGCACGACATCCTTCTTGGCTACGGTGACCCTGCGGCCGCTCATTACTCGAATATGTCAAACCAAGAGCGGAGTTTGGAATTTAATGATACATTCCTGGACTACAAACATCTGGTGTCCAGTTTTCCAACATACAGCATTAAGTGTGAGCTGCCAGAGGAGAGTCGCCCGCCGCCCTATCGCCTAATCTTTGAAGATGTGCCTACCTCTAAGGAAAGCGATGACGAGGAAAGGGATGAGAAAATGGAGGTGGAGGCACTGACCAAGTCCATAGTGGTGCAGCCCTACAAGTACGAGGCCAGGGGACCCTATCCTAGTGATAAGCCCAAGCAGTAAGTAATCTTGAGATCATTCTGGAGGGACTCTATAATCATTTCCTTTCTGTTTTCTTCCTAGAAACTCTATACGTTTTACGCCCACTCAAGTGGAGGCCATCAGAGCGGGTATGCAGCCAGGTCTGACCCTGGTGGTGGGTCCTCCCGGCACCGGTAAGACCGATGTGGCTGTCCAGATCATCTCCAATATCTACCACAATCATCCCAGCCAACGCACCCTGATTGTGACCCACTCTAATCAGGCTCTGAACCAGCTTTTCGAGAAGATCATGGCTCTGGACATCGACGAGCGGCATCTATTGCGTCTCGGTCATGGTGAGGAGGCCCTGGAGACCGAGAAAGACTACAGTCGCTATGGCAGGGTCAACTATGTGCTGGCCAAGCGCATGGATTTGCTCAGTCAAGTGCAGCGACTGCAGGAGGCTCTGGGCGTGAGCGGTGACAATGCGTACACCTGTGAGACGGCTGGCTACTTTTACCTTTACAATGTGATGGCGCGTTGGGAGAAGTTCCAGAACCAGATGAGTGTGCACAGAAAGGAGGAGGCGGATGCTGAGAAGCTGAGATCGGTGTTTGAGAAAGAGTTTCCTTTCGGAAAATTCTTTGCAGATGCCCCGCAACCTTTGTTTAAGGGCAGCAGTTTTGAGGAGCTCATGGATATAGCCAGCTCCAACTTCCGTTACATCTCGGACATCTTCACCGAGCTGGAGGAGTTCCGCGCCTTTGAGCTTTTGCGCACGGGATTGGATCGTTCCAAATACCTGTTGGTTAAGGAGGCCAAAATCATTGCCATGACTTGTACGCACGCTGCTTTGAAGCGCAAAGAGTTGGTGAATCTTGGCTTCCGCTACGACAACATTCTCATGGAGGAGTCCGCCCAGATCCTGGAAATCGAGACGTTCATTCCGCTGCTGCTGCAAAATCCGCTGGACGGTCTGAATCGCCTGAAGCGCTGGATCATGATCGGAGATCATCACCAGCTACCGCCTGTGATCAAGAACATGGCCTTCCAGAAGTACTCCAACATGGAGCAGAGCCTGTTTACCCGGCTGGTGCGTCTCGGGGTGCCCACCGTGGACTTGGATGGCCAGGGTCGTGCCCGTGCCAGCATCTGTTCGCTGTACAAGTGGCGCTACAAGAAGCTGGAGGACTTGGAGCACATCCTAGCACGGGATGAGTACAAGAAGGCCAATGCCGGCTTTGCCCATGATTATCAGTTGATTAATGTGGAGGACTTTAAGGGTGTGGGCGAAAGCGAACCCAATCCCTACTTCTATCAGGTGGGTTTTAAGTTTGTTTTTTTTATACCCTTGCAGGTATTATAATTTCAGTCAGAAGTTTGCAACGCAGTGAAGGAGACGTTTCCGACCCTATAAACCATATATATTCTTGATCAGCATCAACAGGGGAATCTTTCTAGATATGTCAGGAAGAAATCGATTTTTTTGCCATTTTTGCAAAATTTTATAAGGGGTTACATCATTAAAATTTTTGATTTTGATAAAAAATAAAATTTTCAAAATTTTTAAATGAAGTATGCAGATTTATTAACTGTAGAAAATCTTGCACAGAACAGTTTGCCGATTTAAAATTAATGCTCATTTGGCCGAGTTATGATATTTTTAATTTAAAAAAAATCAACAAGTTTTTTAATATAAAAAATCCGATTTTATAATACAAAATAATATTTTTCTAAGTCAAGGAATCATTTCCGACCCCATAAACCATATATATTCTTGATCAGCATTAACATGCGAATCTTTCTAGACATGTCCGGAAGAAATCGATTTTTTGGCCATTTTTGCGAAATTTGATAAGGGGTTACATCATTAAAATTAGCGAAAATGGCCAAAAATTTGGATTTCTTAAAATTTTAAATTTGGTATGCAGTTTTTTTAAATTAATAAAAACTAACACAAAACTGCTTTCCGAATCGAAATTAATGCATTTTTGGCTTAGTTATGATATATTTTAATTGTTACCTGCAAGGGTATAGAAACTTTGGCTGGCCAAAGTTAGCTTTCTTTCTTGTTTTAATTAACTCTTTTAACACTTTCCAAATCTCACAGAATCTGGCTGAAGCGGAGTACATAGTGGCCACTTACACGTACATGCGCCTTCAGGGCTATCCTGCAGCCAAGATCTCCATACTGACCACCTACAATGGACAGAAGCATCTTATACGCGATGTGATTAACGCCAGGTGTGGCAATAATCCGCTTATAGGCTGGCCGCACAAGATCACCACCGTGGACAAGTATCAGGGCCAGCAGAATGACTACATTCTCATTTCTCTGGTCCGCACCAAGGCGGTGGGTCATCTAAGGGATGTGCGACGTCTGGTGGTGGCCATGAGTCGTGCTCGACTGGGTTTGTATGTGTTTGGCAGGGTTTCCCTGTTCAAGAATTGCCTGGAACTTCAGCAGACCTTCAAGCTGGTGAGTGTAAAGTAGGATATTAAGGATCTTCATCAAAATTTAATTCCATTTCCTTTCAGCTTACGCAGCGACCCTTAAAACTTAGCTTGGTGCCCGATGATAGCTACCCCACGGATCGTTTGGCCAGCACTGCAGTAGCCAGCGAAGCCATAAGAACTGTGGAAAATATGTCCGAAATGGCGCAGTTTGTTTACGAACGGTATATGGCCAAAATGGAGGAGCTCAAGGGCACCCTGCCCACCGAGGAAGAGCTGCTGGCCATGCGCAACCAGCTGCCCCAGGAAGATGAAGAGGATGCTGCTACCGGGGAAGCTGAAACTGAGGAGCCGCCAGAAAAGCGAGCAGCCACAGAGCAGACAGTATCGAAGAAAAAGACCGGAGAAGCCTTCAAGCCGACGCCCATTCTCAATGAGATCAGCGTGGAAGACGAAGACATGAACCAACGAGAACAAGTGACAGAAGATGTAACCGAAGAGCCCGCAGAGGAATCCACACCCGCCGGGGAAACCTAGTTTAGTTTGCTCCAATATTGTAATTTTAAAAAGTTCCAACAATCTTGAAAGTGACAAATGCAAAACGCATATACCACCAAGTTCTACACATCTTTTTCTCTACTTCTTGGGTGCGGTAATGCCCTCCAATTGGGCCTTGAGCTGGGCGTTGGTCTTCTTCAGGAAGGTGATCTCTTCGGTGAACTTCTTTTCCTCAGAGGCGCGCAACTCGGCATTGCGGCGCTCGGCCTGTTCCTGCTTCAGCTTCATGTCGGCAATAATCTCCTCCAGCGCTTCCTTGTCCAGTTCGAGTTGCTTAACCCTGTCGCGGAGCATCTCCTTCTCCTCGTGGGCTTGCAAAGCCTTGCGCATACCGAAAGCCACGGAGCTGCAATACAGCGTTTCGTAGGCCTCCATGGACATGGCAATTTCGTCACGGATGCGAAGCAGCAAGAGGCCGCGTTCCGAGCAGTTAATGGTCACCTGACGTATGATTTCATCTGCAGGGGGGAGTCTTAGTGGTAACTGGAAAAGGTTTAAGACGCTTTAACCTTACCAAAACACTGTGAATATAGTTCGCGACGCACAGGACAGATGCCCGTCTCGCGTGCCTGAGTCTGCTGCAGCCTGGTGTCCAGCATCTCCTGCAGATTGATCACATCCTGACGCGTGGCCGGAGTGCTAGACACAGACTGCTGCCACAGTTGGCTCTCCTCCTCCCAGCAACGCGGCGGCAAAATAGAATTGAGTATCTCTTCGGTCTCGCGTTTGGTATCCAGCAAAGCGCCCGCAGTTTGGGGTCTTTTCATCTCAATCTCCGTCAACGGAGCGCCCTTCTTGTCCGGGTGCTTGACCACCAGCACCGGATTATTGTAGCGCACCAGGGTCTGGAACTGACCCACACTGGTTATCTGTAGCTCCTCCATTTCGGCGGATTTTCTTCTAATTTAACTCAAGTACTATAAGTACTATGTATACAAAGACGAACTAAACTCGTGTGTGCTTGGGGACAGGTTCGACAGGTTTTGTTCAACGATTTTGTTGATTAAAATATCGAAGGAAATGCCTGTGCTCGGAAAACTCCCTCCTGGGGGTGGGAATTTTGTTATTCTCCCTGCGTAGGCTCTAGCAACCGTCCGGTTTGGGAGCTGGGCAACGGTTTGAATGGTTGTTTATGGATTCGCCACACTGACTACCAAATATCAACAAGTTGTTGAAACAATTCTCAGTAGAGTTTGGTAAATGAAATATTTCCTGGTCAGTAAAAATGCATTTGTAATTATTCGTATAATATATTTAATGTAAATGCAATCATAAATGAGTTTCTGGCTCGCTGTCCGTGAGGTTATGTGAACAGGGGTCAATCAATTGTAACTTAGTTCGTTGCACATTTCCAATTCTCGCCAACTTAAAATATACATGAACTTATGAGTTATGAGCAAGTTTGGCTAATTAAAACTAGGATCTAAGAACCTAAATGTTAACTAAACGTAATACGGAATTGGAAGAGCAAATAATTTAGTCTTTTCGGAGTGGTACAACTTAACATAGCTAATATCGCGGAATTATTCGAGGATTGCAGATGAAGATGCTGATGCTGATGCTGATTAGTAACTCTTACATATTCAATATCGATTCATTACGGCTAGAGACATTGTCAATATATAATAGTACATATATATTATTGTCATTATTTATGCGGGAGAATTTCCTCTATGGGTTCTTGTTCTTGTAGTTCTGTTGCTGTTGCTGTTGCTGTCCCCCTATCCTGGTTACTTCTGGCTTACCAGATACAACTACGCTAAGTATGTATGTATATACGCTCTCGATATATATAAGTGTTATGTACGTGCCTATATAATATGGTTAACGGCAAACTCAAAGATGCAACAGAACGGACCACGGCAAGGGCTTGTCTACTACACATAATTTACACATCCTTTTGGGGGGCAACCAGTCGCTGCTCCAAAACGAGACTTAGATCAGCTCGGCCACGGCATCATCGCCATCCCGAATGGGGGCCTGGAAGGTGGAACCCGTAAACTCGTACAGCTGTAAAGGAAAGACTCTCATTATCCAGACTCTTTTATTTGCAGTTGCATTTCAAATCACTCACCGATGGCGCTCGATTGTTACGCAGCGTGGCATAGTCCGCAAACTCATTCATGTGATGTGGATCGACGCGGGCCAGCAGCAGACCGGCACCACCCACGCCACCGGCACTGGCGCCGCCGCCGCTGCGCATTGAACCACCTCCGGCACCACCGCCTCCAGTCAGGCGGTTCTGGTTATTACGCGGTTGAATGGTGGCATAGGTGTTATCCACCGACTGGCCCACGTGATGGACCTGCTCCAGTGAGCTGCGATGGTGGTCCAGGTGGCCCGGTGTCTCCGAATTGGAGATGTGATCGGGCTCTGAGAAGACCTGCATGGTCAACTCCTGCTCCTCGTACAGTTTTAGTTTTCTTTTAGGGAAAAAAGAGATAAATTTGTAATCTTTTCCCTAAAATCCTAGACAGAGTTGGCTTACTGCTCGATCCAAAGAGGATTCTCGGTGGTGTTTAGGTCCTCTATAATCTGCTTCTTGATCAACGCCTCTTTCCGTCGCGTCTCAACGGGCACCGACAGATTCCAGTGCTTCAGGCAGCAACACAATACAATGAAGCTTATGACGCCCACGAACAGGACAATGACCAGAGCCACCAATCCCGCCACAGCCAGATCAAATTCGTCCTGGACAATGGCTATATAGGCAGGCACCACATTTTCTATGGCAAAGCCAGCATAGTAGTCCTGGAAATGCAATTAAATTATTAGATAATCTTACTTAAAAAGCTTTCCTTTCACAGCTTCACCTTGAGATAATCGTAGTTCCTGTCAATGTCCTTAAGGATCTCATCGACCGGTGCTATCTGTTGGGTCTGGGGATCAACGGCATGGAAATACAGGTCACACCAGTCCATACGAATGCGTCCAATCGAGTCCAGATGGAAACGAATCTCGTCCACAATAATGCGATGCTGGGTGGCATTACGCAGCTCGGCTATGATCTCCTCTTGCTCCTGATAAACCTCTTCAGGCGGTCGGGAGAGGATCACACGCACTAGCTGTGTGCCATCAAAGACCCAGATCTAGATGGATTTTAAATAAAATTAAATATAAAATATTTTTATGTGGAATTTTTCTTAAGGTTAATGGTTATTTCGGTGAATATCGGGTTAAATTTAAAAAAATTAAAAGGTACTTACATTAACTTTGGTGCTGGCCGATCGCTGGGGTTGCTCGAGCTCTCGGGCCACAATCTCCAGTTCGAAGCGATCCTGGTTATACTCGGCCATGATCGTGTTGGCCGTTATACGTCCCTCCTGCGAGATGGCAAATGGACTCGGAACAATCGAACCAGTGGCCTTGCTGGCCCCGAACTTGTACAGGTTTGAGGCCACGATCATAAACTCAATCTTGGCATTCTTGCCCTGATCCGCATCCGTGGCATTCACCAGCGCAATGGCCGCGCCCATCTTGGCATTGGCATTAACTCCAGCGTAATAGATGGGCTTCTCGAAAACGGGAGGATTATCATTGACATCCAGCACCGTTATGGCTACCTTTGCTACAGTGTTGTCCCGATTCAAGGTTTTGATGGAAAAGGCGGCGCGCTCCTCCTCGGAGATGTGCAGATCTGCCTTGATGCTGGCCAAGATGTACAGCGTGTAGACGTCTGTCTGCTCACGGTCTAAGCTCTTGTTTGTGTAAATGTCACCTGTCAGCTTGTCCACATAGAAGGCTCCGTCCTCATTGCCCAGGAGCATGTAGTAGAAGATATCGCGATTGTGCTTACTCCTGGAGGCAGCCTGAATATGTCCAATTTTCACATCCCTTCCACTGTTCTCGTTGATGGACACCTTGTAGGGATTGGAGGCATCTGGAAACTCTGGACGATTCTCGTTGGCATCCACAATACTGACGGTGAGCAGGCGCAGCGATTCAAATGGCGGATTACCGGCATCCCGGGCCACCAGAATGATGTCGTAGCTAATGGAAGAAACCGAAGATTAATAGAAGATTCTTCGAGACATTGTGGCCATACTTACTTGGCTCGATTCTTGCGATTTAGCAGAGTTTTAGCGCGCAACTCTCCCGTCATATCATCGATCTTAAACTCAGCCGTCTGCTGCTCGTTCCTGTTGTTCACCTGAAGGTGATAGCTGATTTTTCCATTATCCTCCGTATCATTATCCACAGCCTTGACGGTAAGGAGGAGATAGTCCGGCTGGACAATATCGCCGGGTATCTCAATGGTGGCATTAGACAGAGCGGGTATAATAAACTCCGGCTTGTGGCGATTAACCCTTAGCACCGTGATGATCGCTCTGGTTGTGCTCTCCATGGTGCCAGATCCCTGGGTGTCGCGGGCCGAGATGGTCAGATCGTAGACCCCATGCTTTCCGGTCAAACTCTGCGCTGGATACACAATGCCGGACTGGGCGTCGAGCTTAAAGAGAGCCAGTTCGTTGCCACCGGTGATAATGTAGCGAACATCGCCATAAAGTCCCTCATCCTGGTCGATGGCCTGCACTTGGAGCAGGGCAGCCGGGGGCTGATAGGCGGCGTTCTCCGCTACCGTGGAATTGTAGACATCTCGCGTGAAAACGGGGGCATTATCATTGACATCAAGGATGTTGATGTGGATCTAAGAAAGGGTTAAAAAGTTATTGATAAATCAAAAGGATTAGTTTTCATGTCAGAGAACTTACCGTTGCCGTGGCAGACTTCTGGACAGTTGCTGGTGCCTTATCCTGGGCCACAACCGATAGCGTTAGCTCCTTGATCTGCTCGCGATCGAGTATAGAGGCATTGGCCACCATCACGTTGCCCGTGTAGGCATCGATGCTAAAGTATTTGTTGTTCTCTCCAATCAAGGTGTAAGTGATCTCCCCAAAGACTCCGACATCCCCATCCGTGGCCTCCACCTTGCCAGCTACAGTGCCTCGCGGGGAGTTCTCCGTGACATTGAAATAGTAATCGGTTTGGGTGAACTTTGGCTCGTTGTCATTAAGGTTAATGATGTCCACCACCACGTCCGCGGTGGCTGTCAAGGCAGGCACACCCGTATCACTGACCGTGGCCAGGAACTTCACCTCCTTAACGGCCTCGTAATCAAGCCGGGCAATGGTGTAGATCACTCCGCTGGTCTGGTTGATGGCAAAATAGTCATTCGGACTGATGTTGAATTCCCCGATGCTGGAGTCCTCGTCGGTGGCCTGCAAGGTGGTCAGTATAGTGCCTACAGGCTGCTCTTCCACCATTTGCAACTTTATCTGCGGCTGTTCCACGCTCCAAGGGGCATTGAAACGCTGGGGAAGAAAGTGAATTAGCTTGGTCTTTGCAAACAGTGTCAAAATTGGTTTCTTAAAATTTTAAGTGAAAATTTTAACTATTCTTATTTTGGAATGCTGCCCAACTCCAAGCTAAAGATGCTCTTTATGAATGTCTTTTTCATACTTTTCAATGTCGCCAACTTGAATGTATATCACCTGTACGCTGATCTCAAGAGCGTTAAGGTTCAGGTGGATCTGTCCACGCAGGAGTTGTGGATCAGGGAGATCTTTATATTTCTCATCTGTGGCCTCATCGTGGTGCGCTTTCTCCTGTGCTTTGTTGGCTTGGCCTCCAGAGTGGTGGCCATGTAAGTGAGTCTCTTATTATAAGAGGGTTGTTTATTGTCTAGACTTGGTTCCCTTTTAGCTATCCTATTCTAACCAACTCTCAGGCTGAGCTGCTTATGCCCACCATTGTTGTTCAGGCCATTGACAATGTCATTCTAAATCTATACGAAATTATCCTGGGCTATTGCAGCTTGTGCTATCTATTTCCTGAGAGCACGGCTGTTTTTGTCTTCTTTTTATTCAAAATGTTATTGAAGATTGCCTGCAGCATAGCCGTTTTGTATGTTAAACTAGAAGAATTTCTTCTGTGTTAAAGTCTAAGCTTAGCCCCCTTTTTTTGTAGAAACATCTACTCGGATCAGCACAATTATTTGGCCAGCATGGTTTCCTTTAATGAGGAATCAAACAGCTTAGGACCGGACAGCGTAGATGAAATTGAACTGGCCAATCACAACTTGCTTTAATTTATGCTTAACAGGTGAGTTTTGGCTTGTGGAAAGAAGAGATTTAATTATAATATAACTAACTTACCGGTGGTATCTTGTTGACATCAATAATCTGAATAATTAGCAAACCGCGACCCTGAAAATGAAAATAATTAATAAATTCTTCTAATAAATTTTAAGCTACAAAGCAAATTTCCCACCTGCTGGACATTGGGAGCTGTACTGTCCGTGACCAGGACATTGATTCGCATCACGGCAAACAGATTGCGATCCAAGTTCTTGTTCACCGTCACCTTGCCGTTCCTAGCAATCGCAAAGTACTCCTTAAACTGATCGTTGTGCGGCAGCTCCTTGCCCTCCTTGTCAATAGCAGTAATGTCATCGGTGGCCGCAAACTCCAGGGCATTGTGACTGGCCACATCAGGATCCAAAGCGATTAAGGTGTAAACCAGCTGTCCAGGTGGAGCATCCGCTCGCACCTCGGCGTGCTGAGTGGCCGGCACAAAGTAGGGATCTTTATCGTTGCTGTTCTGCACATTGATGGTCAGAGTAGCGGTGCCCGTCAGACTGGGAGTACCCAAATCAGCGGCCTGAACCTGAAGTTGGTAAGTATTCCTGCGATCAAAGTCCAGTTTTCGGGAGACAAACACCTCGCCGGTACGCTCATCAATGCCAAAATCGTCGAAGCTGCCCTGCTGTATGCGGTAGCGGAGTTCAGCATTCTTTCCGGTGTCCAGATCGCTGGCATGAACCCTCTCCACACTCGTGCCAATCTCCGAGTTCTCCTCCACAACTGCACTATAGCTCTGCTGCTCGAAGCTGGGCACATGGTTGTTCACATCCCGCACCGTGATGTTCACCCCGCAGCTGGCCGTGAAGAGCCCATCGTTGGCCTCCACCACAAAGATGAGTTGATCGCTCTTCAGATTGGTCACATCCAGGCTAGCGTTCGGTCGGATGCTGATCTGACCGCTTTCCCGATCGATGTCGAAGATGCCCTCCACCTGCTCGGAGCCTCGGATTCTGTAGCTAATGCTGGACATGGTGTCTGCATCTCGGGCCTTGACAATCAGCGGGGAGTCAAAGACCACGGCACCTTCGTCCACACTTGCCCGGTACAGGGGACTCTCGCAGACAGGCGGCGAGTCGTTGGCATCCATCACGGAGATCCGCAAGGAAACCACAGAAGCTGAGCCACGTCCATTGTCGTCGGTGGCCTGTTGGGGAAAATATTTGCTTGATTATTTAAGCTTAAAAAGAAGGGAAATAAAATAGACTTTAATCAGTGTTAATTTTTTAAAAAGCCTAGAAAAAGCCTTGAATTTGAATGTTCTCAAGTTTTTCGTTAGCCACGTGTTTACCAAGGTTCTGTCGCATAAGCACTTTTCTCACACGAACTCCCCCACCGGGTTACGCATATGAAATCATTCCCACAACCCGCCCACGAAGATTGAGACAGTCACTCACCTTGTATGACAAGAAGTACGTGGTCTCCGATTCGTAGTCCAGACACGTTTGTGGTGCCTTGTCGTCATTAGCAGTCGCTGCGGGAACTCCAGGTGGAAATGCAGCTGGATCTGAAACTGGAGCCGCCGGTACTCGCTCCTCTGGCGCCTGGGTGACTAATGTATACTGGACGGTCGGCTCGGTGCCAATCTCCCTGGGAACGGCCGCCTCCATGGAGAGCATTTCCAGGTGACCCTCCCCCTCCTCATCGTCATTCTCAAACCCATGCAGATCACGTCTCTCGCGCCTGTTGCTCTCACCCTCGCCATGACAATTGGCCAGGCTAATGACACCTGTCTGCTCGTTGACATGGAAAAGTTCCGCTCCGGTGCCAGATAGGCTGTAGCGAATGCCGGAGTCTCCGTAGCTGCCAGAGTCCACATCCCGGGCCGTAATGGTGGCTATATACTGACCCGGAAGCGCCGCCTCCGAGACGGAGGCCGAATAGCTTTCCTGCTCGAAAACCGGTTTGTTGTCGTTGGCATCCAGCACGCTCACCGTAATTGTGGCCGTTGAGGAGAGCTTTGGATTCGTGTCCGTCTCCTCGGCCACCACCAGTACGATAAATTTGCGCTGGTTGGGATTCTCGTAGTCCAAAGTGCCGTTGGCCACGCGAATATTCACCTGCGAGTAGCCGGTAACCAGTTTGGGCTCCACATCAAATACCCCAGAAACGTCTTCCAGACGCAGGGCAAACTTTGAGTTCATGCCCACATCAGCATCGCTGACGCTCATGTCCAGGGCGAGCGGGGTTCCGGGCGGTGTGTTCTCGAGCAGGGACACGGAGTACTCCTTGCGATTGAACACTGGCGGGGAATCGTTAACATCTCGTATGGTCACCGTTGCCTTGGCCGTGGCACTTGTCAGCGGTTCGTCGCTGGGCACGCCGTTCACCAGCTCACGGGCTCTAATTACCAGTGAGATGATGCCCGTGGAATCCTCGAGAGCCTCGCGATCTAGGGGCTTGGCAGTGCGCAGTTCTCCGGACTGAGAGTCCAGCAGGAAGTAGTCGTTGGGGTCTAGGAAGTAAGGGGTTGTATCAGTTTAAAATACTTTTTGAGGAAAATAATTAGAAATTAAGGTATATAAATTGTATTCATTTTGAATTTAAGATTCGAGATTATTATAAAGTTAAGAATATAAATCTAAGAAACACTCACTTGTCAGCAGATCATAGACAATCTTTCTTGGCTCGCCCGTGTCACCATCCCTGGCATGTACAGTGAGTACCAAGGTATTAATGGGACTATCCTCATCGATCACTGTGGACAGAGAGCCCTGAAAGACGGGTGGTTTATCCTGAACATCCTTCACCCTGGCCTCGAAGGTGGTCTGCGTCTTGTGTGGTCCATCGGTGGCTTCGATCTGAAAGTGATACACCATCCGCTGGTTGTAATTGAGGGTGTCGTTGAGCACTACCGCAGCTTCCAGAACAGTGGCCTCTCGCTTGATCACATGCAATCGGAATCTGTTGGGGATTGATTTATTTTTATTTATTTTTCCTAGAGATATTTTCAAGGGCAGACTCACTTGCTGCAGGCCTCTGGACTCTGCTGCTGGGGCAAGCACTTTAGATCAAGACTCTCGCCAACTATATCCCGATCTTTGACAAGAATCTTATCAAAAATGGTGGTGCCCACCTTGGCATCTTCATTAACATCTGCCTCATAGGGAGTCTAGTGAAGGGTATTAAAAGAAAGTAAGTTTATCTAGGAAAAATCAAGGTGCTATCATCACTTACATTCTGAAATTCTGGGGGATTGTCGTTCAGGTCGAGTATAATGAATGTAATTGGTACTTCAACCACATTATCCCGCTCCGACTCTCCCTCGGGATCCACACGATCCCTTATGGAAACCAGAAACTTAAGGCTGTCCTTCTCCTCGCGATCTAGTGGCTTAATCAAAGTGATGTTGCCCGAAACGGGATCAACGCTAAAATGATCGGCTCCAATGGCACCATAGGTCACGGGACTGCCCTCTGGATCGTAGGCCTCTAACCGGAAAACTACTGTGCCCACTGTCACGTTCTCGTATAGGATGATATTATTCAAGGTTTGGGTAAACACGGGTGGCAGATTTGTCTCTCCTGGGTTTTTGGAGAAAGCATTTAAAATAAAACCTAAACTGACGGAACCTCTCATGAACTCACCATTAGCCAGGCCCACGGCTAGGCAGATCATTAGTATGCCCAGAGGGAGGAGTTTCATTTTGGGGCCTGCAAAGAAACAAACATAAAATAAGCATAAAGTAAGTGTTTGTTTGATTTTGTGTTTGGGTTCAGAAGTGAGACCACCTATAAGCCTAAGCCAACAGATTTGCTTCAAGACAATTTGGAGACACAAACATTGACGTTTTGAGTTGGGTTTATGACGAAGATTATGATGCTCTTCTTGAGTATTTTTGACAATTTATAAAATTAGCATTACAATTAAGGAGTTGCCAAACCTTTGAGGGAACTCAGTGGATAATAACCTATTAATTCCACATTTAAATCCTTCAAATGTCACAGAATATGAGTCAATACAATTACCCCCCCAGAAGAGTATATTAAAATCCTGTTATCACATTTTAGCCTGTATGTATATTATTTTTTGGATTTTTTTCGGCTATATGTTTGTTTTTTCTTCTTTCTCGTCATTTGTCCGCGTAAACAAACAATAAAGATAAATTAAATTTCATTTTGTGCTGAAAATTCAATTAGCTGACAATGCACACGGACGGGGCAGTGAGAGCGTGACAACGATGATGAGGTTGATGGTGGTGGCGGAGAGCTGCTGCTGGTGCTACTGATGATGATGGCTATAACAACATAACGATGTTGATGACAAGCAACAACAGCGGCGGCAACAACAACACAACAAAAAGCAGCAACAAGCAACATTGTGGCAAATTGTGCACTTTAACTGCGGGCTTGGGGGGTGGTGTGTTGATTAAATGAGAAGCGGGGGTTGGGGCAGAGTTTCCAGCCAGGGAATCGCCCGAAGGCGCCAACATTCCTGTTGCGTCCATCCACTTGTCCGTTTGCCCAGCACGCACCACCCAACCCAACCAAACCAGAGGATGACCATGCGGGTGCAGAATAAGGGGCGGCATTGGGTTGGGAAGGACTCTGGTCCAGAGGCGTACATATCTGGCTGCCAGCAGTAGGGGCCAAGCGAGAGATGACCACACAAACGGCCGAAGGAACAACACAACACTCGGCAAAAAACTTATTTTGTTTGTAATTATAACTACCCAATAGACCAACAAAGGATAGTAAAAAGAAGGACGCAAACTGGGCTACTAATGACTCTTTTTTGTATCGTTTTTGGATCTGTACTAATAGTAATAGTAACTCGTTTTAGTTTCACGATCATCCCTCAGTTTTTATATATTTCTTTCAATTTATACAAATATTGTCTTTAAAAGCCGCTTGTTATCTGTTTTATTTATAAAATGTACCAAATATTCTAAGTGCATAGCGGGCTATTTGAGTGGGAGACCCAAAACCAGGCAGAGCCAATTAGTTATGCATAAAAGCTCGACTAAATATTTTCAGTTTGGGCCATGTTTTGTGTGGGTTTATTTGCTTACAACACTGGCCAGGAGCCTAAATGGGCACAAGCTCAAAACGTGCCCTTATATGTGCGCTGGCAAAGCCCAAGGATGTGTGTCTGTCTGTTGGTCTGTCTGGAGTTGGGTCCATAAATTCACCTAAGAGCGTTTTCCAGTCGTCGACACTGACCATAAACTGAACATTTTAGGGTTAAGCGGGTTGTTGTCGAGGCTGCTCGGGGTTTGCTGCTATGTTTTTGGACTTAAACTTGCTTGAATCTCCCCTTGTCACGCAACTGGGATCCAACTCCTAATCCTCAACGCAGGCCAAAAGTTCACACAGGAGCTGGGATACTCTAATGGCGAATAAGCTATGAGCACAAAGAGTTAATGATTTAGCTAGTGGAAACGATAAATAGCTTTGAAGTTTGGAAAAGTGATAGTTATAAAATTTAAATTTAAATATAGTTTAAATAGATTTAAGTTGAATTTTTATAAAAGGTTCAATAAACAGTTGAAATTCACATAAATTAAACATTCAAATTAAATCTATTTAAATTCTATTAAAATTCAAATTTATATATTTAAATTAACGTATACATTTAGTCACTCATACGAATAATTATAATTTGATTTTCCACATTAAATGTTCAAACAGAGCAACCTTGCTGCTTAATTTACCGTATCCTAAATTTCAATATAAATTCAATTTCATATTCAACTGGTTGCCACCGCAAAAACGCTGGACGACATGCTCTCCTTTCCCCACATATCTAATACATCGTTTATGGGGTTTCATTCGGATACCAATGATATTGCCGTGCTGACACGGGTGGCATTGGATTTGCATTGTGCTTTCGCCCGTTGATTACAACTAAACAGTGCAAATTTATGGATATCTAAATCATGTTAGCCCCCCAAAACTGAATAGTAGCCATTGTGCGATAATCTAGGGGGATTATGAGCTTGGAACCCAAGTCCAGGACATGTCCAAGGGATACCGCCATTGTCTCCACGTGAGTCAGGGAACTAATGACTGTCGCAATGACATTTCATACTGCAGAACATTAACTTGCTATGGAAATAAGTCCCCCAGATTCCCCGTCTTGTGTGTGTGTGTGTGTGTGTGTGAAATTGGGGTAAATTCCAAGGCGAAATAATTGCCAAGAATTTCATCACCCTTTCATGCTTGAAATGCAATCAAATATACAAACTGGCTGTGTGTAAATATACATTTATTTACAACTATCTCAGGATGCATTCTCATCGTCTTGGCAACGTATATATGTATATGCAAATATAGTTAACGCCTTGGGGTTTACATGAGCAAAGAACATTTTATTATGAAGCTTTAAAGGTATTTGGAAGATTCCTTTAAGAGAATGCCTTGAGTTTTAATGGAAAATAAATAAAAACCTCTTGTAGTGGGCAACTCGAATGCTATTTTTTGCAAAGAAATTCTTAGTAAAACCTTAGGGCTCAGTTTAGCTGTTAAATATATTAAAAGTTTATAAACTATGTTATTTACCTAATTTAAAAAATATATACAAGCCGCTTCCAAAAGGCTAACTTATTCACTCATCGACTTTCATGAATTTACAGCTTTATGCTCATCAAACACAAATTGAATGGGGTCCAATGCGATTTCCATCATTCCCCGCAATTTTCTGGCTTCGCTGGGTCCAAAGGACCTACCTCTCCCTACCCAGACCTCCCCCGGCATGCCGCTAATGGCCCACAATCTCCTGGCAATACATTTTTGGTTATATTCCAGCCGGAACTCTGACGCTGTGTCAATATTATATCACGGCCATTAAGGCTCAACCCGCACTCGCACACACTGATGCCAAAATATATACGCACACGTTCGCTGTAGCATAACCAATATCAATCATACAGTAAATTTATATTGCATTTGCGTATTTTCCTTTTCATGTTTGTCAATCCAAAGCCGAAACAGAGGAGGGATTCTCCGCCAATCCCCAAATCCGCAATCCCCAGCCAACCTGTTGATGATTCAAGCCTTTCCAAAAGGTGGCTGCCACAAGCCCTCCCCCGGGTTAGGTCGTTTGCCTCTCCATTTACCTCCTCTCCCCTCCCTCTTTTGTGACCATAAAAAACCATGTGTACCTTGAGTCAAATTTACCTTTTACTTCGGGGCCAGCCGGTGTGGAGTGTTCAGCAAACTGCTTTGGCAATCCTTGGAGAAGATTGCCTTCTCCTTACCGTACTCATCCATCCAACCGTGCCTTTCATGGTTTGCCTTTTTCTTTTTTTTTTTTTTTCTGAGCCACGTCAAACGTAATAAATCATATTTATTTAAAATACATTTTGTATAGCCCTACGCTGTCCTGGGAGCGGCAATAATAATTGAATTAGGTGCGCTCCAAGGGACACTCTGCCGTGGCTTGATGCCCCCCTCATCCGATTACGACTAATGCCCAAAACTTGTTTTCTCCCTCGACTGTTGCGCGGTTTTGGCCACTAATCCCGGGAATCCCCGACTACGACTGCGACTGTGACTCTGGCTCTAACTGACTGGCAAAACTTGACACTTGACTCTGCCGGATCCGTAACTTTTTCGCTTTGCTCGCTTTTTTTTTAATGGAAAACAACCCAAGCACTTCGTCTGCATGGGTGGATTTGGTTTGAAGAAAAAAAACTGATAAGAGTTTTGGGATCTGGGCGGAATTGTTCCAGTAAGCTTTGGATAAGTTTTTTGTTAAAAAAAATTAAAATAAAGTATTTATTTACAGGGAAAACATAATAATGCTTATTAGTTAAAAAAAAAGGGTTTCAGAAATTTCAAAGTAGTGATTTTTAGAGTATCCTATTATGTTAGTTTATTAGATTATTAGTTTATTTAATCAATAATATATAATTTGAATATTTATATTATTAATTTTAAATAATTTAAAGCCTCTCTTTCAAGTGTAGCCCATCAATGTTCCTGCTTCACTCCCCCTGCTAACCCTCTTTTATCTGATTTCTGCCCTTGCTGGCATAATAAAAATGTCAAACTCCTTATGCTGTCGCTTGTAATACATTTTATTCATAAAATATGCGTTTTTTTTTTACTTTTTTCAGTTTCACTTCCCGCCAAAGGCTGTAGCCTAGCTCCTTCTGCTGTCTCTTTTCTGTTCGCTATCTATCTGCTTCTCTCTTCATCCACTGATGATGATGATATCCAGGGAGGAACGGATAGGGGCATGGTTCACAAAGTGCTCCACTTAAGTATGCTATGTAAATCACCTGTGCGAGTGCGCGTTGCCTTTGAACACCGCCCTGTGGATGACAGTGGCGTCATTTTCTTTATGTCTTGCAGTTTGTTTGGCCCAAAGCGTCGCCTGCCGAAAAAATAAGAAACCTTTGCCAGCTATTCTATTTTAACGGCATTATCTCCAGTTGCCGCCCCGGCCTTATCTCACCTGCCTGAGCCCCCAACCCCAAAACCCACCTATTCCTTGAGCTCCTTGGAGATGCCCCGACATTCTTCCCTCGCATTTAAATTGCTCTTTTTTATTTGCGCCTTCTGTCCCCATTTCGGTGGCCGGGGTGTCGAGGGTGGTTCCCTCTTAATTTATTCATAAGCCTGATGGGGCTGTGAGGGGTATTCACGGCGCAACGTTCTACTTCTTGAGTGGGGCAACATCATTACTATTACTCATGCACGGCACACAA